TAAGCCCAACTCTGGTTCCCGGTCAGCATCTCTCTTCCTACTCTGCCTTATATAGAATTGGCCTTATCCTTGGTTTCCACCAAGCATCCCCGATGCTTGCAGCCCAGGAGCTAGGATCTCCATGCGTGACTAATGGCTGTGCAATTCTAGAACCTGCATCCCTATACACATTAGTTAGGGTAGAAGCCTTGGTCTTGCTAGCTCTGGTTACTGTGAGATAAATATGCTTATTTTCCCCAAAGCCCCAGCATACATCTCCTGGCTGCTGTCCTGATTTGATTAGTGCCAGTGTTTAAAGGCTACAGTGGGAGTGACAGTTGGTTTAACACTGTTAAGACCTCCTCTTGGGACTTGGATAAATTCAATCCTACCCAAGTCAAGTTGCCTCTGAAAACATCAGGTCTCATTGCTAGGAGGGTGCAGATATAGGATTACAGACATCAGTCACATGTTGAAGCGGTCACCAGATGGGCCGGGTTATAGCCCAGTGCCTGAGCATTTGCCGAAAGTGCACACAGTCTTGGGTTTTAAGCCCCCGTTTTGCAAAAATAGTTTTAATAGCAAACATATGGTTTGTGTGTTGTGCATAATAGGCAGAAAAATAACTTTCTGCCTCTCCCGTGATTTCCTTTTCTTTCTTTCTTCCTCTAAGTGATCATAAGAAGTGGGAAGGAGGGATCTGAGCACTTGTTCCTGACCTTGAAGGGAAGTGGGTGTTGTGTTTGTGGATAAATAACTAAAGACCAAGTTCAAATAAATGGTAAGTTTAGTTTCTTGGGAGAAAAATGTCCGACCTTTGACCTCATGCCCCTCTCAGAGTCCACCCAGAGCCTGCCCCCCCTCTAATTCTTGGGCTTGATCCCAAAGGGCTCTGCCCCTGATACTCACACCTGTTTTTCTCTCTGTGTAGCACTGGAATCTTGTAGACCAGGCTGGCCTCAAACTCACAGACAACTGCCTACCTCTGCCTCCTGAATGCTGGGATTAAAGGTGTGAGCCACCACTGCCTGGCCACTCACACTCTTAAAATTGTTAATAAAATCATGTGTGCTTTAAAAGGACTGCCTCGGATTTCAGGGATTCAAGGGTTACCCTGAAGGGAGCAGTGTCCCGAGTCCTCAGGACCAGAGGAAACTGGAGACAGAAGGAGATGGGCCAGCCAGCCAGCAGCTCACAGACACAGCCCCAGCTTCTCTGTCTCCTCTCACTTGGTGGCCCCCTGAGTCTACACATTTGGGTAATAGAGAAAGCAAGGGAATTTCAGGCTGTAAAGAGCCCATTGGCCGAATCATCTTATTTATGGCTCTCACATACGCTAATATTCTCCATTTTTCAGATTTCTTTCATGACAAATACAGGAGAATTACAAGGACTGGTTGATTCTTCAGTATGTTGGAGCATTGGCTACTCCTTTACCAGCTGATCTAGTACCTGCAATCCTTCCAAGGCCATTGTGCACCCACATAGGTTTGTTAGCTAACCATGTTAACATCTAGGGCTGCTGGTTCCCTAGAAATACCACCAGCTGTTGTGCCCATGCACAACTTGAACTGTCTGTGACTGCTCTTGATAACAACTTTTAATGTTTCTCTCAGAAGCATCCTTTATCTTACGGTTTGCTTCTGAGATTGGAGCAATGTTAGTCTGTGTTTTCCATTGCTGCAATCAATCACACCCCCATGAATTCATTAAAGCCACATATGATTTTAATTTTCCTATCCATCCTTCTGACCCTATATACTTGAGCCATTCTGCACTTTGTTTTACCTAAGATAAAGTTCCAGTCCTTAGAAACTGAACCTTTGCTTCCTGAAGAGGCTAATCTGGATGCCAAGATTTTGGTGAAATCATTGTTACATCTGTACCTATGTCTAGCCAGCCCTCAATTTTTAATGCCATTTATATGCACTTTCAACTTTGCCTCTGATCTCTTATAGCAGTTTGCCAAAACACTTGTTTTCTGGGCTCTACTGCAGCTTTTGTTGTATGTAGAGAAGTTGTTCTGTCCTTGATCACATTCAGAGCACTGTGCTTTTTAACAGCAGGTATTGTCTTTTAATTGCTCTGTAGATGAGTTTCTCCAGTGTTGACAAGGAATGATTGACTCAGATTTGATACTGGGGCCTGGGGGAGGCTCCTCAGGGTATTTTCCAATGGCAAAGGGTTACCTTGCCTGTCCTTTGTTGATCTTCATTAATTAGATTAGTGCTGGCCTTTCTGTATATTCCAGGAGGCTGGGGCCTTGTGTTTGGATTATCTCTAGAACAAAGCATTGTTTCTAGGAACATTTTGCCTACAATCCCTTTTCAAATAACCTTGTTTACCACACTTATAACATCTGACATTTTGATTTTTCTAAATTTCTTGAAATTACTTCTATCAAAGTACCATCGTAAGCATGAGTGATGCTGTAATGATAAACGGCACACTTACTGAAAGGAAAACTAAGTATTTATTGTAGAAATTACTCACAAGAGACCAAACAAGTAACCCAGATGAGCCGAGTAGTTTTCCGCCGCCGAACTAGAAGCCAAAAGCTGGAAAAAGAGACCAAGGTAGTCTTTTATACCTTCCCCGGTAAAGCCCCTTAGCCATGCCCAAAAGTAGGCCTGGCTAGTGACGTAGTTCACTGCCTACGTACGTATACGTCTTTAGTCATGCCTAAAGTGGGTGTGGTTAGCAGTGTGGTAAACCGCTCTTTTATTACCTCATCTGTTTGCGTCTCTAGTAAGTCACATGGTTAATGGCGGCATTGTTTTCCTCCTACACATGAGATCCAATATCAGCTGTATTTCTGATCCAATCATCTACTGGTGCTGGTCTTACCTTTAAATCCCTAATCTCACCTTCACATTCGGAACTAGAATTTTCAAAAAACAAAGATTGAATTAATACTTGTCTAACTTCTGGATCTGATATCATTTTATTTACAACTAAAGTTAGTCTTTGTAAAAAAAATCAGTGAAGGCTTCTTTGGGGCCTAGTATAATTTTAGTAAATGACTCAGTCCTCTTTTTTGATTCTTCAACCCTGTTGTCCCAAGCATTCAGAGTTGCTATATGACCTAGCACCAAACCGTATTCATCAAATCTGAACTGTCTTTATGAATAAGTGCACCGGCCTTCACTGAGAAGCTGGCCTTGGGAAATTTCCTTCCCTTTAGCCCCAACTCGTTGTTCTATGACCTGGCTTCTTCTTCCCACTGTGTTTTCCTTTATAGTGAGGGACGGCTTCCAATATTTCTGAAGCTAAGTCTTTTCAGTCGTGTAGGATAATTCTGTTCTGAGTTGTTCATGAATTTAACAACTGTTTCACATAGAGTGAGTGTATTCCACATGGAATGACTGCTCTTTTAAATCTCTTCAGATCTACAAGTCTACAGGGTTCCAGTCTTTAGGATCCCTGTCATCTGCTGGTCATTCTTGTTTGGTAACTGGATAAACTAAGGTTGGTTTTCTTTTCTTTCTTTTTTTTCAAGACAGGGTTTCTCTGTGGCTTTGGAGGCTGTCCTGGAACTCACTCTGTAGACCAGGCTGGCCCCAGACTCAGAGAAATCTGCCTCCTGAGTGCTGGGGTTAAAGGCGTGCGCCACCACCACCCAGGAAATTTGGTTTTCTAATAAACTTTGGATGTTCTTCAATTTCATAATGCAATGGTGCAGTAGGTTCTGCTCTAAATTCCTCAGTGTCTGAATATTTTTCTTATTTTCATTAGTAAGTCTTTCTAAAGCTTGTACCTTATCAATCAAATTTTTATAGTTGGCACAGTTATCAAACCACATTTTTAAGGGTAAAATATGAATTACCAAAGCTGATGGTAGTTGGAATCAGTATTATGTCAATCTCAATTAAGTGGTTTATCCCCTCATTTATTTTTTCCATTTTCCAGTCATACATAGTAGCACTAAACAGGGTCTAACTCTCTGCATTGTGATATTTGCAATTCTTAACATGGGAAAGATTTCCCCCCCAATCCCTGCCCACTATTTCTTTTTAAACCTAATTTCCCTTTTAAGAATTTCTAGGTATCTCACTGTATCTGCTGCTGATGAAAGCAAAGGCTGAGTTGTGCGAGGGTAGCCAGCTATGTCAGTGATGCTTGGCTTAGCGGGTGTGGCCTGGCTAGCTTTGCTGCTCAGCATGGCTGGGCAGAGGACATGGGCGGCACATATCTCTGCAGTTTGTTGTGGTAGCAGCAGCAGCAGCAAAAACCCATGCCCCAGCAAGTGAGAGTGGGTGTCAAGGTGGCCAAGCCGGCCTGGGTTGGTAGCCTGGGGGGGGGGGGGGGGGAGTCCAGGGAAAGCCTGCGTGGCAGGAAGTGAGGGCATGGGTCTGCATTGGGCAACTAACCCATTGGGGACGGACAGCAGTTGTAGAAAGACTGCAATGGAAAAACCTTGGACTCCCACAGAGGCCCTGTGGAGAAGGAGACAAAGCTGGTTGGTGAGTTTACTACTGCCTTGGCATGTTTAATAATGCCACTTGTTGGATGCCAGGTGTAACGATTATCTAAATTATTCTATTAGTAATGAAAACTTGGGAGTCAGATATAGGTTAAAACTGATCACACAAATGGCAGAAAAGCAACCAGTGACCTCCCCTTTCTCCTCTTCCTTGACTCAAAGGCCTGCCAGTGCTTCTAACCCCTCCCTATTACTTCCTGTGTCTCTGAACGTCCTGTACCTGGCACCACAATCCACACATGCAGCCTGCTTCCCCTCTCCACCTCCTCCAGCCCTCAGAAACCTTCTGTCCTTTTAAAGTTTCTTAGACATTAAAGCACAGGTCCCATATGTAGCCTTCCGTGTCAGGGTCTAGTCACTAGACACAATGCCTAGGGTCTCTCCATGTTTTGTGTATGTCAGGAACAAGGCTCTCTTTGTCGCCGAGTGTATTTGCACTTATGCCAGGACATGTTTGTTCATCACGGGTGGGCATCCGAGCTCCTACTGGCTTTTAGTGATCGTGAGCAAAGTTGATGTAAGTAACTGCCAACAAATCTTTGAGCTGATATGTATGCCATTTTATTCACACAGGATATCTAGGAACAGAATGGCTGAGTCATGGTGTATGATAAGCAGAATTCTGAGAATGCCTTTTTTTAAAAGAGGCTTTTATTTTATGTACGTAGGTGTTTTGCCTTCATGTTTGTCTGTACGAGGCCATCAAATCCCCTGGAACTGTAGCTACAGACAGCTGTGAGCTGCCATGTAGGTGCTGGGAATTGAACCTGGGTCCTTTGGAAGAGCAGCCAGTGCTGTTAATCACTGAGCCATTTCTCCAGCCCTCGAGAATGACTCTTAAAGACCCCAGCTTTCGGCTTACTCCTTCCTTTCACAGTGAGGGCAAACTCGATGAGACACCCACCCTTTCACACTCGTAATACCCCACAGGGCAAACACGATGAGACACCCACCTTTTCACACTCGTAATTCCCCACAGGGCAAACGGAAAATGGTCTGAGTGCGCCTAAATTTGTGGTGCCTTAAACACAAAAGGAAGCACGGGGTGTGCTGTTTCTGTTGCTGCATCAGTATATTTGAGCCTGACTGCTTTATAAGCAGGGACGTTTGCTTGGCATAATCCATGTGGCATGTAGCTCTAGCCTCCCCATGTATAGACAGCCATTGTTGGCCTACCTAGCCCATGTTACTTAAGAAAAGTCAATAAATCATCCCCTTTGCAATATAAACACCCATTCTATCGGTTCTGTTCCTCGGGGAACCCTGACTGATGTAGTGGCTGCTTTCTGTCAGTACTTGGAAAATATTCTCCTGGCTTCTGCTTCACTGTTGTATGGATTAGACACTTAAAAAAAAAAAGAGCCAGCCGTCACCCAGTTTCCTCGTTTTTCTGGATGTCTAATCTGTGGACTCTGAATGCTTTATTTTACATTGCTCTGTATTGCACTGGGTCACTTTAAGCAGAGAACTGCAAACACTTGCTCTTCTGTCCGGGTCATTCCGGCATTCAGTCTCTGTAGCCCTAGCTCAAGGAAGCTGCTGTCCAGCTGACTCTTTCTTGTGCGGTCTCACTTCCTTAGCACAAGTGCCTATGTGTCTGTGGATGAGTTTAAGCTTCTTACCCAAATCTCAAGATGGCAAATGCACATTCAGGTTTGTGACAAATTATGGTAAGCTCTTCTAGGCCCTAGCTTTCTCAAACAATGAGTGAAAATTTGTAGTCATTTCTCATCACAGCCAGAGTTCTTGAATGTCTGCCATGACATCATCCGTAGTTAACTATTACCCCAGGAGGCAGTCCCTCTGTTTCCATCATGCTTAGGGGCTTTTACTTATTCCTGCCTGGGGCCAGCTCGTGCTGGGAAATCCCTTTTAAGCATCTTAAGCAGATGAAGGAAACACACTAAAAGAACTATGGAATTTTTTCACAGTCAAGTGCAAACTTGCTTGGTAAAAAGGGGTGGAGCGACAGCGTGCCCAGTCTGTGATACCCATCGACTCCACCCACGCTCTTGACGCTCAGCCTGCATCCCCTAGTAGCGCTCTTTTCTTATCCCTGCCAGTGCCTAGCACAGACCTGAATCCGTATTTAAAGCAACATCCATTGACTTTCTTCCTGGCACACCCAGAGCTGGGTCGCTGTTGTCAGGGCAACAGTGTGTCTGCAGGGAGCTCTAGCTCTCCAGGGTTTCCAAGGCAACCACTCTGCAGAGTGGAAGCAGGTGCGGTGCCCTGGGGCGGAGTCAGCTGGGGTGAGGACCCTTGGGGAACTGGGAGGTGTGGCCGCTAGGCTGTGATCCACCTTGTACTTGCTGTAAAACATTACCTTCGGCGGAACATTCAGCTTTCACGGTGCACTAGCAAAACCGAACCGCTGATTGCTCCCGGCCTGGTGTATTCAGCTTGTCTCCAGGAGCGGCTCGCGCTTTGGAAATGGTCCAAGTGAATGAACGGCAGCGGAGCGTCCCCACACAGTAAGGTCCTGTTGAACAGAGCCCTAGACACAGACGAGGGAGCTGATGTGCGCACTAAAACGCGAGGCTCGGTTGCAGGGCTTGCGGCGCATCGCGGGGTGCCCAGGACATCCCACCAGGGCCCAGGAGTCAAGTGGGAGCCGGGCCGGAGGAAGGCGTGAGGTCCTTCCCATTTGAGGTGCAGGTTAGCTCACCTGCACGGCACTCGCCTCTGCTGTGTTTATTCGCCCCGAAAGAAATGCTGCCAAGTGAACAGGAAGGACGCAAGGTTTCTGAAGGATTCTTTGGCATTTAACCTTGGCATGGTGGGTCCCTAGGCAATCTTTCGGCTGAGGCTGAAAAACTGCGGTGCGAGACGCCAACTCGGTCCCCACCGCCTGTCATCTGCCGCTCCTGGGGGAGGGGGGAGGGGGAGGGGCGGGCCGTCTGACACAGTTATTAAACCTGGCAGCTGCGTTGGCGGCATTGAGGAGCATTTGGGGGGAGCTCGCGGAAAAATAAGGGGCTGCCAGCTGGCGGTCTGCTGCCCCTTTCTCGCTGCCCGAAGGGCAGCCGCGCCGAGCTCCCTCGCGGTTCCGCTTGGTGACCAGAGTTCAAGCCCTTTGGCAAACACTTGAAACGTGAGTATCTGCCGCCCCGGAGGTGGCAGGAGACCGGCTCGGAGCGCTTCCGGCTTCGCGGTGCAGCGACAGGAGAGGGGCCCGGCTCGGAGGGGGTGGGGGGCGGGGGGCGCGCCCGGTGCTTCCGCCACGCCTCGTCTGGAGGTGGCGCGAGCTGGCTGCAGCCCCGGCAGCCCCTGGGAGGGACTTGAGTGCGGGGTTGGCAGCACGTCGCGTGAGGATCGCTCCTGTGCGTGGACCCAACACAAAAGAAACTTGGGCCCAGGCAGCCGCGGTGCGCAGTCTTGGCCAGCCGCTTGCGAAAGGCGAGAAGTCACCCTTGAGGGTTAGCGCGTAGCAATGAGGTGCAGCTAACGTTTTCCCGACCGTGGGGACCTTGGTGCACCGCGCAGGGTCTGCCGCGGTTCTTCCTGAAGCCACCTAGCTGGGCGACATGCTCTCTGCCCCTGGGTCTGGGTCCCCGTAGGATTTCAGCGTCCTGAGACTTCAGGCCTCTGTTAGGCTCCAAGCCGGCTTCTTTCCTTCCCTGCACATGGTGTTCGTTCTTACCGGGCAGGCAAATGAAAAGACCCCCCCCCAATCTCCTCCCTTCTCCTCAGACTATGAATGTTGTAAAAGGGTTCGATGGGTTTTGTTTGGTGTTGTTATTGCGCGTTAGAGGAAATCTTAGCGTTTGGTTTGGTTTTTATATTTAATTTGGCGACATGCAAGGCCTCCTCCCTGAGGTCTGTGTACGTCTTGAGGAATCTGGTTCTCCCTGTCTGAAGAGCGCCTCCCGAATGCCATGCCCAGACTGGGCTGCCCTTTGATGTCTTAGGGACCCGTGCTCTGGTCTGGTTCAGTACTCTGCTGTCTCCTGAGGTCTCTGTGCAAGCCTTGCTTCCCTATGATTTCTTGAGTCCAGCTTACAGCATCCCTGGCTGTGGACCATGGAAGACATGGCCTCCCCTAGAAGATGCCACAGATCCAACTAGTACAGGTTGGGGGTGCCAGCCAAGATCAAGGGTTGGAACTTTCCAGGTCTATGTCTCCTTTGGCATAATCGGGACACAGAAAACAATTTCTAGCTCAACTTAAAACATAGGCAATGGGCCAGGCGTTGGTGGCACACGCCTTCAATCCCAGTACTCGGGAGGCAGAGGCAGGCGGATCTCTGTGAGTTCGAGGCCGGGCTGGACCGATAGCCTCCAAAACAATACAGAGAAACCCTGTCTCGTAAAACCAAAAAAACAAAACAAAACAAAAAACCCCATAGGCGATGAGGGAACCAGCATAGGATTGAACGAACGTGGGTGTCAGCTGGGAGGCCAGGGAGTCTATGGGGCCTCTGGCAGTGGAACCAGTAGTTATGCCTAGTGCAAGAATGGACTGTGAGAGCCCATTCCCCATGGAGGGATACTCTCTCAGCCTAGACACATGGGGGAGGGCCTAGGTCCTGCTCCAAATGATGTGACAGACTTTGATGATCCCCCATGGGAGGCCTCACCCTCCCTGGGGAGTGGATGGGGGGGTGGGATGGGGGAGTCGGTGGGAGGCATGGGAGGATGGTAGGGAGAGGAAACTGGGATTGATATGAAAAATAAGATTGTTTCTAAAAAGTTATAAACAAAACAAAACCAAAAACCCACAGGGTATGGTTTGGGCCAATCTTCCAATACTATTTCCCCACTGAGCAGCTTTTGCCAGCCTGACCTTTAAGGACTGGTTTAATAAGTACAAGCAGGGTAGGAGGGGAAAGCAAACACAACGAGGGTGGGGTGAGTGTGGTGGTGACTAACATTCAGAGAAACAGCAACAAATGGAGCTCAGAAACTCAACTGACTAGAAATTCTATAATCTTATCAATATAGTTCCCATACTTACAAGGACCTAAAACTATTATGGACATACATGTGGGCCCTTTCATTTTACATGTGGGACTATGGCTCTGACTCCAAGATCAGAGTTGGTATTTGGTATTTGAATTATGACTAAGTCAAAGTGTTATGAAAAACAACTGATGGAGTTCTGAGATCTTAGGTGTGACATGGGAGGAGAAATAAGCTTTATAATTGACTTCTGCAGTAGGAAAAAGAAGGTGCTATTCCTAACGTCCCTGATCTTTAAAGGAAATGTGGAAAAATTAATGGGGTATTGAGAACAGGACAGCCAAAACAGTGAGGCGAAAAGCCAAAAACAAAACAAAAGAAACATAAAACAAGCCTGTTTTAGTGAAAGAGAAGCTAGGGAGAAGGGAGTGAGGAAAACAGATTTTGATTAAATCTAACAAAGAAATTCTAAAATGCTGTTCACTGCCTAGGAGCATCTAGAAGAAAATTAGCTGTCACCCACTTTTCATGCCCTTGCCACTCTTAGCCTGGCTGCAGACCTTAGCCCTTTGAGACTCTTCTAAAGCCCAGGTCATTCCCAGACTCAGATTTTAACCCACTTGGTCTGAGCCCAGGGATGGATCTGTTCTCAGCGCTTTCTGGGTTTAAGAGAAAAATGGGTTGCAAGATGCCTGTCTATGCCTCAGACGGTCAGGTTTGGTGTTGCAGGGGCAAGCAGGGAACCTAAGTGCTGAGAGAGGCCATGGTCCGATGATGGGGTTAACTGTGGAGGACAGCAGGAGCCTACCCTCAGGCTAGCCAGCTCTGCCAGAGGGAGCCAGGAGTCTCCCTTCCAATTTGTTAATGTGAAACCACCAGATCTTTAAAGGCTGGCAGCTAATTAAAATATCTAAAGTGCACTGTGCTTGCCAAACGAACGCCCCTGCTAGATTTGGGCAGATTGGGCAGCCTCAGCAGACCTTGCCTTTCCAGAAAAAGATGGCTGGGGCACTGGGGTAGAGTGGGGTGAACTAGCTGTCGTTCGGGGATCTCTAGATTCAGTTCTTGAAGTTTATACTTTCTTTTTTTGAAACAAGGAATAAACTTGGAAACACAGGACATGGGGCCTGGCACATTCTGGCCTTGTTCTTTGTGAAGGCCCAGAGTTTTCCAGCCTGTGGTCTCTGGATTATTGAAATGAAGAAACATTCTCTAGTTTCTCAGAGGCTTCTCCACATAAGCTGACCACAGCTGTCTCCTCCAGGAATTCAACCCCACAGGGTTCCCTGGAAGCCTCCTGTGGAGGTGGAAATGGGGACTGGGAAATGAAGGGACAGTCTCAGCACTGTCATCTGTGCTGTCTCCTGTGCTGGAAAGAGGGCACGTGGAAGGGGTAAGAAAGCCTAGGCTGTCGTGTGTGCGTAGGCAGCACTGACAGTGACAGTAAGATCTGTTCTCAGGTCACATGCATCTCGACCTCCCCTTCACTAAGCCACAGACGCGGTGAAAAGTGTGTCTTCATTAGTAAAGAGGGAGCGTCCGGTGCTGCTCTCCACAGGTTGAAGCATCTTCGTTGGGTACAGAAATAATTCAGGAGACGTACAAGACTGTCCTATTTACACTCTTCCCTCCCCCATCCTTGGGCCAAGGCTCTTGTGTTTTGACTTAGTTCTGTATTGTTTTTGTTCGGGTTGTTTTGACATACATTAACCATACATATTTATGGGTTACAATTTAATGTTATATACATATTTATCTTGTGTAATGATCTGGTCCGGGTAATTAGCATATTATAGTTTCAAGCACTAGTAATTTCTCTGTGACAAGATCATTTGAAACCCTCTCTCCTAGTTATTTTAAAACGCAATACATCTTGTTAGCTGGAGTCACCCTGCCGTGTGAACACCAGGATTTAGTCCTCTCATCTACATGTAATTTTATGCCAGTGACAAAGCTTACCCTATTCTCTTCTCCCCTCCTCTGCCAGCCTCCGGGAACCCAGGCCTGCTCTCTGGCTCTGTGACGTCCCTCTCAGGCTCCACATATGAGTGAGGTCATCCAGCGCTTTTCTTTCTGTGGGCAGCTTATTCCCTCAGGGCAATGTCCTCCAGGGCAGTTTTCAGCGTGCTGGGGAGCCCTGGACTGTTTGTCACCACAGCCACACTCATTTTCAGTCCCACCAACCTGGTCCACCCCAACCTGGTCCACCCGTTCTGGTTTCTCGTAGCCTCACCAGCGTTATGGCTTCCAGACGCTTTGATCGCAGACATGTGAGCCGGGGTGAGGTGTTACCTTCTTGTGGTTTGTTAGAATCCCTGACGGTCAATGCTTCTGAGAAAATGTTTCCCTTTACTCCCTGGCTACTTGTGTGTCTTAGTGACCCAGCTTTCACTGGCTAGCCATCTTGGTTGTCACTACCATTTGGACTGTCAGGTGGCCTTGGCACATATTCTAAACCTTGTAAGAAAAGCAAAGCCATTAAAGTAGTCAACTAAGTGCTTTAGGCAATGCCTAGACTAATTTTTTTCTTTTCTTAACCAATGTTGATCATGTTGGTATTTTTTGAAGAAAGCCAGCAAGATCCAGCTAGTCTGTCTAGTTTAGTGTAACAGACCCCGCCCCCACACAGGCACTCAGGATCCCAGGGCCCTCTTCTCTTGCTGATGCCAAAGCTCATCATTGTTTTTAAGTCTCCAGTAGACTGTACCTTAGACAACTCTGAACAACACTCGCTCCTTTCTCACACTTCCTGACATCTCTTCGCAGCTGGGTCTTACGCCTGAAATTATGTCTCCTCCTGAGAAGTGATTTGTCTGGTCAGGTTATTTTGGTCCATTTTAAAATCAGATTGTTTTGGTGGCACACACCGGTAGGATTGCTGAAAGAGGCAGAGGCAGGAGGATCACGAATTCAAGGCCAGCCTGGGCTACACATTTTTAAAAAAGAAAAGAAAAAAAAGATGGAGTTTTCTTATACACTCTGGATTCTAGCCCTGTGTAAGATGTTCAGTCGATAAACATTTTCTTCTCCTCTGAAGTTGGTCTCATCACACT